ACGTGTAAACCTTCAAGGGGGTAGTTATCGCAAAACTAAGAATATTCATTTTTAGATATGTATAGGTGAATTCCGTAACCAATCGCAATACCAATTGTTTCCTTAGCCTGTTGTCCTTAAATGCTTCCACTTCAGTCTAGTCAGCATTTATTATTATTATTATTTATTATTTGTCCCTTGAGTTCCTAGTGGAACATAGGGATTCAGTAGCACATCTCCATTACACTCTCTTCCCTGCAATCTCCTGAACCCAGCTCCACAACAGCCCACAAGCTCTCATTTCTTCCCCACACCATCTCGTCCACGTCACCCTCACCTCGCACGCCCAACTCTTCGTTTCCCATCTGGCTTCCACTCGACGACCTGGCCTGATGCGTGATGTCCTCAATCGGCCCTCCCAGTGCATGCCCAATTCATCTCCACTTTCTCCTGCATATTTGTTGAGTGATAGGTTGTTCTTAGTTGGTTGGTTCGTTGCCAACCAACCAGCCAGCCAGACAGCAAGCCATACGGCCGGCCAGAGTTTCTTCTTGCTTATTCTTGTTATTCTTGCCATCTGATCTTCAGTAACGAGCCAGTGTATGCAACAGTTGTTGATGAATATCTGTAGTTTATTGGAAATGCTTTCTGTGACGCGCCAAGTCTCTCAACCATCACATAGAAGTACTGAGTAGACTGAATTCGTGTTTAAAATCCGGATGTTGTTCATGCTTTATGCTGAGTGCAGTAGATCTCCACACTGGTTTCAGATTAATGAAGGCCTGTCTTGGTGTCTTTCCGATCCTGGCTGGCTTTGACATCCTTGTCTGTACCACCATCTGTAGCTTAAACAGTGCTGCCTAGATAGGTAGGTAAGTGAAACAGACAACTTGGTTTAGGTTTCTCCCGTTGATGGTGATTGGAGCTTCTTGTTGTTCGTGGTGGTGTTGGTTGAGTATCTCCATCACCTCTGTCTTCTCTACGTTCACTGAAGGAAGTCCCGTCTTCCTTCGCTGCCTCGCCTCTTCTGTCAACTTGTTAGTTTTTCACCTGTAGATCTTCGAGTTTGTGAGACATTAGACACAAGTCATCGGCGAAATCCAAATCTTCTAGGATCTTTTCTCCGCTGCAGCGTATCCCCCTCTTCTTGCTCCTCACAGTTGTCTGTTGCATGATCCAGTCAGTCCACCACAATCAGTAATATCATCGGTGATAGTAGGCGGCAACCGTGTCTTACTCCTGTGTTCACTTCCACTCCAAAGGCATCACTGAGTCTCCCATTGTGAATTGCTTGGCATTTGGTGTCTCCATATAGTTGTTGAGTGGGGTTGATAAAGGTTTGTGGTATTCCGTAGTGTGAAGCAGTTGCCAAATTACTTCTTGGTAGGCGCTATCGAAGGCCTTTTTAAAGTTGATGAAGTTTAGGTAGAGGTTTGAGTTGACTGCCATTCTATACTCTATTCTGTGACGATGTGCAGCATAGCGTTGCAATTTGATTCGCACATGATGGATCAATGTAAATTGTAAACAGTCGGCTTGAAGTGATAGAAAACATTCCTGTAATTTTCACTGACGATCAGAAAGGTAGATTATTAGCTTAAAGAGAATTTATAATGTCTTAGAGATGTGAACCAGAGTAGAAAATGCTACTACTAACGCTTAACTTATCAGTTATTTGCATCACATTTTGTTTTGCTATAAGATTTGAGCAACACTGAAAACTGGCCCATATACAACAGACCTTTATGTGGTGGCGATTTCTCTGAGACAAGTGATTTAATCTTAAAACATCCATTGTCTTTCTAAACAACGTTGAAACCAGAAACACCACAAAGTTTAAAAACGAGCTCATCTCGATAACTTAGGGCATAATTGGATGTTCCTACAGTTGCTTTGTCACTACCTGCACACCTGTCTTTTCAGAACCTGTTTTACTCATCTCATATCTTTAACTTTATGCCTATTTGTTGTTTTTAGCTGGTTGAGATGAAAGTCCCACATCAGTATGGTTACTGATTGATACAAAAATGGACGTCCATGCTCTTAGTCAAGACTTCTACTTCTGCTGGTAGCACTGTTGGTTGAGTCAATAAAAGCTTCACAGGTGTACACTCTACCTGAGAGGATAAAATATCTCTTACAAGTATAAACTTTCCTTACTACTTTAAATCTAATCCGTAATAAATTCGTCGACTAAAATA